AAATAACCATATTTTCAACAGAAAGTTTGTACACATGGATATCACATAGATGTCTTCTTTTTTTTTTTTTTTTTTTTTTTATAATATTCTAAATTTCTACAACTATCTATATTCATAATATTCTACTTTCCCAAATTTATAGCGAAGATGAACCATATATTATACCCGGTAATAAATTTACTCAAAATTACTACATCAATAAAATCAAGGATATCCGTGTATTAATATATTTCTAGAAAGAAATTAAAATATAAAAATACAATTATTTTAAACTCAATAAATTAATTTATTAAGTTAGAAAGCATAATGAAGAATTTATCCTTATTGAAATCATTGTTAGCTACTACTGTAATAATTATTTAAATCACTATTGAAATCATAATTTAAATAACTATTGAAATACTTATTTCAATCACTATTGAAAACATTATTTCAATAGTGAACGTTATTTCAATAGTGGTTGCAATCTGTATTTGGTTTTGAAATGCCTTTCAACCACTATTGAAATAATTATTTCAATAGTGGTCGTTATTTCAAAAGTGGTTGCAATCTGTATTTGGTTTTGAAATGCCTTTCAACCACTATTGAAATAATTATTTCAATAGTGATCATTATTTCAATAGCGGTTGCAACAGAGCTATTTGCTTTTTATAGTCATGCAAACAATTTGACTGCTAGATGTCTGTGACAGATGTAATAAATGTACTTTCAGTATACATGTATAACAAACTTAGCCCGGCCCTTATGGTTCCGGGCCCATGTATATAACAAACTTTGTAGAGGAAAAGCATTATAAAACATGCAAGCAGTTTGTTATGCCCATAAGTAATGAAGAAAATTATCAAAGGTCATATGTATTTTCAAAATTTTCCAAACTTTTATGAAACAGATGTGTCATACTCTTCGGTATCTTTTATTTCAAGCTCATTGGGATATATCGAGTCGACATATAAATGGAAGTAACTATTTTTAAATGATAATACATCGTATATATATCTAAATGTCGAGTTGAAGGCGACAGCAAGTGTTTTCTTCTCATGTAGAAGTTTTTGAATAAATTCTGCTTCATATGAATACAAAAATAGGTCTGCTAATAAAGGGGTGCAATTGGTACCAATGGGAATATATGCCAACAAATTATTGGAGGACCTGATATCCAAAAACTACATAAGTATTGTCAATCAGAAACTCAAGCATCTGTTTAATATCAACTTCAGAGTACCTGTGTGTACAATCAGAATGTTTTAACAAAATAATTTTGCAAATGACCAATAACAAGGTTAGTATATTTACGAGTTCCATTTCTATTGAAAAAGCAGCTGTCTAAAAAAGATGGCAAAAAACCTGAACTTTAATTTTTCGTGGGGAATGGTTGTATAAAGTGTTGAAAAGTCATACGTTTTGATGATATTAATTTTGTTAAAATTTTGTGATTTCAATTTTCTAAAAGTTCCATGGAGTTTTTAAGTATCCACATCTGATTTACACCACTTCTCGAATACATGTACACTATTGTACAGAACTCCTGAAGTTCTCCACTGCTGTAAATATTTTAGAGAGGAGTAAAGAAAGAGGCTAGTTAGAACATTTATTGGAACCCGCTATGTATCATAATGTATCTTTGTTTGTAAGGATTAATATTTTTATGGAGTTTTGGAATCCAGTATATATTCATTTTGATTGTTGGGAATATTAAAAATGTTTAAAACTGACATATGGTTTTTTAGTGAATTTCCTCCTTAGAAAGAGAACTATGGGTATAAGTTGGATTACCACTTGTTGTATTAAATCCTAGTTCCTCTAAAATACAGTTCAAATAATGAGCCTTACAAACAAAGACAAAGGAGAGCATCCAACAAATCAAACAAATCAAAGACGGTACATGTACACAGCACATAGATTAATTGTACTTTGGGGGCTGCATGATCTAGTTTTTTCTAGACTCCTGGTTGGTTTCTGGGGTTTCATAAAAGTTTTCCTTGCAATTTATTGTTTGTTTGTTTGTATGCTGTTTAACGTCCCTCTCGAAAATTTTTCACTCATATGGAGACGCCACCACTTGCCGGTGGAAAGCTGCAAATTTTTTCCTATGCTCGGCACTTACGGCCATTGAGCAGTGAGGGATCTTTATCGTGCCAGCACCTACTGCGATACGGGACCTCGGTTTATACGGTCTCATTCAAAGGACGGTCTGCACGTCCCACAGTGGGATTCGAACCCGCGACGTAAGGATCAACTCCTTACTTCGCGACTCTAAAGCAGACGCTCTAACCACTGCGCCACTCCTTGCAATTTAGGTTAAAATTGCTTGCATATCCCATTTTTGTCATATATATAACTGATAATTAATTAATGCTTGTTCTTTCGATTTTAATGAAAATATACAAAAAAGTACCTAAAGCATCACACAATTCTTCTTGTACAGATTGTAATATACTTTTGCTATTTGTCCGTAAATTACATGTATGTACTTGTACACTGTTGAAATCATTGACTTAAAAATACATGCACTCAAACGCAACTTGATTGTCCGGTAAATAGACATTATAAACGATTCTCTCTCTTTCTCTCTGGAATATATACGGAAATTTTAAAACAAAAATCTTTAAAACGATGAATCAGATACATTTGTCAAATCAAAATGGAAGCATTTACAAAAAGTGTACATTGAAGACGATAAATGTTGACAATTTATCATGAAGGACAGATCATTTTATTCGAAAAATTTAATGAGGCAATCATTATTCTAAGGGTGGTCATTATTAGTCTGTACACCCGGAATCCTGTACCCAGGGGCCAAAAATTCCATAACATTGCTTGAGGGCTAAAAGTGTTTATAATCATGGAACTGTTAAATACAGTTCCAGGTAAGAATCAGGCAGGTCGCACAAGTTAGGTGGTACAATGAAAAACTGTGTTTAATTATTCAATCGGGTCTAAAATGAACGATAAGTAATGTTTTTTTATTCAAATGCCCATGAGCATAGAAGATTTACAAAGATGCAATTTCAATGTATCTACTTAACTCCACCCTAAGGCCTGAACCATGAATCCGGGGACAATTAATGGATTCATTTCTTTCTTTGTGCTGCACTCAGAGCCATGAATTTTACAATTTTGGTATAGGATTCGTTGCTTATTATAATCATGACCTGTAGTAAAGGTCTAGGTCATACCCCTCAGGTCCCATGGAGGAAGATACCATGAAATGCGTATTTTTTCTTTCTTTTCATCCATAGATGATAGATACCAAAATTCGTAAGCGAAAAAAGTTCAAAAATTTACAACCAAGCCACGAAGATGGACAGAAATAGATAGCAATAGGTAACCTGAGTGACTAAGGTAACCTAAAAAATAAGTTACGGGAAAATTGTTTTGTAAGAGCTCGTTATTGAAAATCTCTGTTGATTTCTTACTCGTAAGTTATTGCACATCTGATAAAATTCTCCTAGAGATGACTTGGTTTTGGGATGCGTGTTTGCATTTTGGACGATATCAAATGTACGTTTTAACATTTTAGTGGGATTATCGTAAATTTTATGAGTTTTTGAGAAAAAAAAGATGTTTTGGTTAAACACTGATGCTCCCATGTGTCCGCTCTTGGCAAAGGTTAATGTTTCTCAAATGCAAGTCAAACTCCAAGGTCAAGAGATCAAAACTGGTCTTGCCACAAGGAATACACCTATGGAATATATGAAAGCCCTAGCACCAACCATTCAAAATTTATGGCGAAGATTAAAGTTTTTTAAAAGTGGGTCAAACTCCAAGGTCAAAGTCAAAAGTTAAAAAATATTGGTCTTATCACAAGAAATACACAATCATGTGAAATTTGAAAGTCCTAGATTTTTTGTTTGTTTGTATGTTGTTTAACGTCCCGCTCGAGAATTTTTCACTCATATGGAGACGCCACCACTTGTCGGTGGAGAGCTGCAAATTTTGTCCTATACTCGGCACTTACGGCCACTGAGCAGTGAGGGATCTTTTTCGTGCCAGCACCTACTGCGACACGGAACCTCGGTTTATACGGTCTCATCCGAAGGACCGGTCTCCAAGTCCCACAGTGGGATTCGAACCCGCGACGTAAGGATCAACTCCTTACTTCGCGACTCTGGAGCAGTCGCTCTAACCACTGCGCCACGCGGGCGACTGAAAGTCCTAGTACCAACGGTTCAAAAGTTATGGCCAAGGTTAAAGTTGTAAAATTTTGCAAAAGTGGGTCAAACTCCAAGGTCAAGGAAGGTCTTATCACAATGAATACACATGTGAAATATCCAATCAATAAGTTATCAGCTAGGTTAAAGTTTTTTGCGGACAAACAGACAGACAAACAGAGAGACATAAACTTTATGCCCCCTAATCTTTAATTACGGGGGCCTAAAAGATTAAAAGAAGTATTTTGAAGCAAACATTTGAGCTAGCTTAGAAAATATTTTTTAAAAAAATTTTCTGGTTCATACTACTTAGGTGAATTGCATTAAATTACATAAAACAATAAACATGGTGAAGTTGAACCCAATCCTAAGTTTTTTTTAACGCATCTTCGTAATTATTAATCCATTTCCATGGTACTAAGCTTTCTTGCAAAGGCTTAAGCTTGCAGACACCAATACTGACAGATTTAGGTTCATGGTATAAAATTACTTGTTCGACTGACGCGGTCTGTCCATTTTGGGTTTTCACTTTCAAGGGCAATATAGGACAGGTCGGATTTCAGTATGCCATGTTATGCCTCGAATCTTTAGAAATCATTACACAGTGAATTCATGCACTATTTCTGCTATAATATTTCTTTTTCACGTGAATATGCATGATTTAAAATATTGTACCCATGCAGTTTAGTTTTCTCTCATATTAACAAACATAGAGATGCCACAAATAAATGTTAATTGATATCGTTTATGCTAAAGCATGTGTGATAACGACAAACACTAAAAATATGGTGATGTTGATAGGACGTGAAAGTGTACTGATTTCTAGTTAAAAGGTTATGTTACTTTGTGTCCGTTATTTTTTCCTAGTTGCATAAACGACTTCTTCAGATACCATTGTTACTTAACTATCCAAAATGACAACCAAAAAACGAGAAAATTCGGAACCCTTGAGGTGAGTAAATGCAAATGTCGTTATTTTAAAATGTAAAGTACAATACCTGCATGGTCAAATATAATTGATATCATACACAAATTACGCATTTCATATATTCCTTCATGTATGTTTATGTGTATTTAGAGAAACGATTGCTAAATGCCCATTTTTATCTTACATTATAGACAACATGCCAATTGTCTATACTTTGATCTACACGTAATTTTAACTAACACTGCTATAATCATAAGATCACTCGATTAGTATAATTTTTCTAATATAGGGAGCGTTATGACAAGACAAACAGGCGCTATATCGTCTTTGTGGGATGTCTTCTGATACAGTTTGTAGCCATTGCAATGCCTTCCTCGATGTTGGGAATTGTTTATGTGGACGTTACTAGAGAGTTCGACGCCGAGGCTTCCGAAGCGGCGCTCATGTTATCCTTATTTCGTGGAATTGCTTTCGGAGGAGGTATTTTATTTTAAGAGAATTTTATGAAATTTACTTAGGCTTGCAAATCCAGAGTTCATTTTCGGATTATTTATTGGAAATAAGAGAATTTTTCAAAGCTTTCCATTTTAGCCGAGAGATACAATTTAAAAAATTTTAAATTTTGACTTCTTTAAACAGGTCGCATACAAAATATTAGATAAGGTGATTTTGTGGTTTCTTTTGTTTAATGTAACTTTGTATATGTTAAATCAAATAGACATGTCCAACAGGAGTGATTGGTGAAATGGTAATAAGACGAGTAGGGGAATTCCCATGTATAATAGCAGCGTCTCTGGTAGGCAGCATCAGTATCTTAGCCTCGGCCTTCGCACAAAGTATGACCGCCATTGTTCTCCTCATCGGGGTTGGTACTGGTGAGTGATTTTATTAGAAGTTATAAACCTTTCTTGATGCTGAATTTTTGCAGAAGTGTTTTTCTTTGCGTCTGGAGTGAGTGAAAAGCTTATTATTAAATAGAGAATGAGCAAAGCGTGCTAAAATATAGAATCACAGTGTGTAGAAAAACATATCTTTGAATGTAATTATCGTTAAGAGGAATAATTAATACATCTACAGTTAATCTTCAAGTGTATGGTTCCAAATGAAAATTGACTTCTAGAGCATTAAAATATAAATACAAATAACGCATGAAGTAAAAGTAGAAGAATGTTAACAGTCCTAGAATTAGTCATTTCAAGAACTTAAAAGAATGCATTTAAATTTTAGGATGCGCATGCGTGTTTCCGACACTTTTGTCCTATGTCTACATAAGCCGATCCTTTCCCAGAAAATACGTATCCAAGTTTCTGATTATGATGACTGTCGGTGCAGGGTTAGGATTGTTGACAACACCCTACATGACTGAGTTTTTCCTGAGGCAATTCGGGTGGAGAGGGACCTTTATGATGGCCAGTGGACTATTTTTTCATCTGTTTCTTGTTGGAATTGTGGTTCAGTTTAATCTGCCACCTTTAGATGGACCAAGGAAGGCCAAAGAATTCAAATGGACGGATCAAATTGCTATTTTCAAAAACAGAACATATTCAATATATTTGTTTGATATGCTTCTGTTTGGAATATTTGGTAAATTGTCGTCAGATTTAAACTATTTTTTTTATATGAATAATTGAATGATCAATATTTCAAAAAAAAAATTAATAAGGACTTAATGACTAAATCATGACTAAATCTTTTAACAACAGGATATGTAGTTCCCTGGTTTCTTCCTGATTTTGTTGTTTCCAACAATTACACCAAACAGGACGCCGCCTTGTTGCTAACAATTAGCGGAGTCTCTAATCTAGTAGGACGGATACTGGCGGGCACTTTAGACCCATTTTTCAGGTAAACTGTAGTAAATAAAATTTAATTAATCCACTTAACCCAACTTTGACATATACTGTTCTAAAAAAGCAAAAATAAATGATAATTGTACAGATTTTGCACCTAGGTGTATGTATTTCATCATATGAACTCATTCATACCCATTAGATAAATTTATAGAAGATTCACTCCATGTGTACATCTCTGACCCAAACGTATATTTATTTAAATAAATATAAAAAAAATGTGACCTGGAAGAAAAAATACTTCTGTACTATCAAAATCATTTCTGAATTATGAACTGGGCATAACCTCCTAAACAAGGTTTTTAATCAACGAAACAGTAGAAACTACCTGATCATTATAGAAAAGGAGTCACTGTGGTTGTTTCATTGTTGGATAATGTGTTCTACCATCTAAACAAATATACAGGAGAACATACGGATAATGAGCATTTGGTTAACCCAAAAGAGGACATCAGACCAGAGCAAAGTTCAAATTTATCTGCTAAAACAAGTTTCAATACTGCAAAAGTAATGTGAGAGAGGGTTAAATTTTTTGTAGTTCTTTTTTCTAAGAGGCTCTTCAAAATCCTATTTCAGGTTTGAATATTTTTAATATTCCCCCCAAAAACAAATAAATAAATTAACAAATCCATACTTGATTCCAAAACTTCATACAAATATACATAGTTGTATCTAGTATATGATCTACCAAGTCTCTTTCTTTAATCCTCAAGAAATTATAATCAACAGCAGAAAAGGAGAAACCTCAGCACTGTGCGATAACATTTTTGATCGAGAAGAGATGACAGTCAAATGAAGATAACATCTGTATATTATGGTGTTCCTGTCTCCCATTCAACTCGAATTTCCTACGTACAAACAATTTCTAAACCGAGGCAGACTACTGACAAATAAGTTGATGATACAAGGGAATGACAATCTAGAGTCAGCATTTCGCAAATTCTATGGTCGATACAATGACATTGTTTGCAGACACAATCTGCTATTGGCTCGAATGTTACTGACGTTTAGGCCATTAGTTTTATACTGATTATCTATCGATTTCTCCGAGTAATTTTTCTCGCCATCTCAATCACGACAAAGGCTGGTCCAAAGGGAATTCTTACTCCTTCACGGGACCTGATACTACCTTTAACTATGAACTTGAATCTTCGAGGTAAATCTTAAACCAGCAGACATGTAAAAAGAATATAAAAAATATGAAATAAATATAAATAATTATGAAATCACGGCAGATGAAGATCGTTCTTAGATGACGAATCTCAAAAGATTCCACTTCAATTACCAGTACACTGGTACCCAAACATGAACAAATATGAAAAGTCACCCCCCCCCCCCCGCCAAAAAAAAAACGCATGTATTTTGAATGGCATTTGACTCCCAAAATATAAATGGTCTTCCACTCCAATATAAAAATCTTGTCTTACTTTCAGTCGCACAAAAATTATCTACCACTGGGGCTACATCTTCGCAATAACTGCTGTCAGCTTTGCCGTTTTTCCATTCTTTATGGGAAATTTCTCCGTTCTGTGCGGGGCGTCTTTAGTCTACGGGACCTGTTTTGGTTTAATTGTCTCGCAGAGTGTGCCAATTGTGGTACAAGCATTGCCTCTAACTCTGACCTCTATTGGAATGGCTACAGAATTCACGGCATATGGATTGTGCACAGTACTAGGAGGCTACGTATGTGGTAAGTAAGGTTTTGTTCAAGGTTGAAATTAGAACAAATGCACTGCATTTTACATCGAACATTTTGTTATTTGAATAACTACAAATACAATTTCACTTGTTGTCATTGCAGGATTGATTCGTGACGTCACTGGGGGATATGACGCCGTATTTTACATGTCCTCAGGGACGGTCATTGTATGCAGTTTTATGTGCGTTCTTCTCCTGTTTTTGGATAAAACATGTAAACGGAAAACTCTAAATAACGTTCATATCAATACCATCTCGATTATTTCCCATCTCTAATTCAAATATATACATATGTATGTGTGTGACTGTTATTAAAATGATATTGTCTGTAATTTTGCGTACTTTTGACAATGTGGTTCAAATTAAAAGCATGGTTTTTGCACGGTAAGAAATTGACTTTCTTGAGAAATTTCATATTTAATTTCATAGATTAATGATAGGTAAACATCGAATGGCCATATATAACAAGAAAAATAGGTGAATTTCTGAAAGAATTGCCGTAATTTGGCTAAGAGGAAGCATACATTTGTTTGTCAAGCATTTTTTAAATAGGATTTTTATTCTAAGATCCTATTTCACTTTTAGTAACATCTTTATGTATGTGTAAACGTAATTTACTAACCCCACCCCCAGCTCATTTTGTGAATTTAATTCAATGATTTCAAATTGGTTGTAGACTATGATTTTTAGTTGAAGTTCTACATAGGGGATACTTACTCCTTCAGTGCACCTCATCCCACCTCTGGTGTTTTTAGAGGTCCCTGTTTGCTCTGCTCCCAATTTGTATAGGTCCAATGGACTTTTGAGCTTGATTAATGTTCGTTATCTTCATGCTCAAGCATCTATACTGAATTTCAATTTGCTAATATTAATTTAAGTATATCTGCCTTCTTTCAGAAACTTTAATTAATTATATAAATACGAAAGTTTTGCCTCATTGGGCACCAAAACAGTAGTTGATTTCATTATCGTTATGTCATAATTGCTTGTGACGTAACAGTAACCTTTAGCCACTGTGACGTCATTGCATTGTCTCTGTGAAAAGCATTCTTCGCGATTTGCGCCACTGAATTTTGTTAGATAGTTTTTGGAGCATTAAATCATGGCTTTCTATGTATTCAACTGGACAAAAAGAGCGTATATCCTTACAGTGTTGTCTTTGGTGTTGCTTGTTATAACGGCCAAACACAAAGAGTACTTATTTTGGTAAGTAAAACATACTTGGGGAAGCAAACTCGTTTGCATTTTATTTTGACTATATGATAGCCAACAAATGTATACAATGTATTTAAATTAAAATTTTCGATGGGGATTTCCTTTGAATTCCAGTATATTTCATCGCATCCAATATAGTACAAATCTCTTTTCTGCTTAAACTTTCAGTAAGGCGTGACATTCTCGGCGATACATAATTAGCGCTAGCGTCTCTCAAATGGTGACCTAGATTCTCATTGGTTAAGAAATTAATAACATTAGCAAACTTAGATTGTTGTTAACAAACGATGAGATGACATAGGCCACACCTCTTTACTGTAAGAAACGATGTAATTGGTTCCTTGCATCACTCGGTGGCTCTGACTCATTTTTATCCCATGTGTATTTCACCCGTGAATGAAAAGCTGTACACGTACATTTCAGTACTGATGAGAAAATCCGGCAACCAATGAGAATCTAGGTCACTAACAGAGAGACGCTAATTATGTATCGCCGAGAATGTCACGCCTTACTGAAAGTTTAAGCAGAAAAGAGATTTGTACTAAAGCAATCTTTTCCTTACTTTCAAATTTAGTTTCTTGTACATTACGTTTATATGTTACTTTATATTACAATGAGTCGTTTTCATTGATATAGTAAGGAAAAACCACCGAGTAATTTTGTGATATAGTAAGGAAAAACCACCGAGTAATTTTGAGAAGTTTGGGATTTGGCTGGGTTTTCTGGACAAACCAAACCGTGTCCAGGAGATGAAGACCTCTACAATGTGAGTATGGGGATTATAATAAAATTACGGCTTTTATAGCTTTAAATTATCATCACTCTATTAAGTCATATTTATATGCTTACCATATTGTTTATGAATAATAATGGTGAATATTGATTGTCTTGCAGACATTTGATAAGGCTTCGAATATTTTATTGTTTTTTTTTCTTAGGATGCCCATAAAAATCTGTATTTGCGATAGCTTATATATCACCACTCCCCCACCACACTTTGTGTCAGACTAGATAATAAAAACTTTCTGGTGCCCTGCGATCTCTTTCTTTATTATAACTTTAAGCTTTACAGCTTATCAGTATATACAATATAATACAATATACAATCGAATACAGTACAGAAGTGGATGATTTACAGGAGAACATCAGAAACACCACAGTTCATCGAAGAGTAAAGCATCCCAAGCTCTTCATTAATATATACAAGCACCGGGCGCCCTTTGCACATTCCTTTCCAAACTGTTTAGTGTCACTTCGATCAACAGACAGTAATAATAATAATGGATAATGAGTTCGTATGATGTGCTGTCTCGATAATTTACTAAATGGTCAATACTCTTTTTACCCCATTTTTTAAAATATAGATGGCAGAAGAGATGGGCGTTTCTGCTGGAGCTGCCCTCGCTAGTACCGCCATACCGAAATTAAGGGGCTGGTCTACATACTTATATAGTTGCATAACCAAGGTCATAAAGGGAGGTTTGCAGTACCTGAAAGGTATATCATAAAGGATAAATGAAATGTTCATGTGTATTTTTAAATAGAGACACTTGTTATTAATAATGGCATATTTTTTATTCATTGAAGGCCGTTTTCCATTTCGAAAAGTTGACTTGGAAACTCAACAGATTCCTCCCAAATACAAGTATTTCTTGTGAGTATACCCAAACATTTGTCTTATATCAGAATTACTTTTTGATATATTCACCACTAAGAATGATTATTTTTTCTTCTGTAGTTTCCGTAATGCCTACGAACAAAGAAAAATTATTATGGTATTGAGGGAGGGAGACCTCTTGGAGGAGATATTTGTGTATTCCCAAGAAAAAAGGAAAATAAGAGTGTGTTTGTTGCTTCCGTAAAGGATCTCGTTAAAAAAGAGTCCATCGCCATGGTCAGGAGTGATGCAGAAAACTATATAAGATTCCCTTGCATAAAAATAAGGTTTTTGAAGTGAATTTCACTTAAATTAAATTTTAAATACTTAGATATAATTTTTAGAAGAATAAAATTAAGTGCATGCAAAAGATGATTTTGTTTTCTTTATTGTCAAAAGCGCAAATTGAGTGTCTGACTCTTTCCAAGGTTTTAGACAAACAAAATGGTTTACAGCACATAGACAAATATGTATTTGCATAATATTTGTGTCTCGAAATAAGGTCTTTGAAGTTCGTTTTCGATTTGTAGATTAATTTTTGTCCTGATCATGGACTTGCAGTGATTTTGATGCTTTCAAATAGCCAGTTATCAACTTTGTAATATATTTTAATATCACCTTGAATAACTTAACCAGAATCAAAAGTTCAGTCATTTTTAAATATCATGGACCCTGATTTGGATACTTAAAGACCCAATTTTTTTACCGTACGGTTACCTGAGGAGGGGGAGTGGTCTTGGTAGTACTGATGTTATTTACCTGGAGAGCCCCAATACTCAAGATGTCAAAAATCCCTATACACGCTGCATTACACAGGAAGTCCGGCTTTTGATAATCAGGGTCAACATTACGCGTTTTGTGCATAATTTTGAGTGTAAAATATTTAAATAAATTATGTACTGAAATATAAAATTTGTAGACTTAGCGTTTTCGTCGATATCTTTTGAAAAAAAAAATAATAAAAAGACATATCTTTTTTAACAATCGTAAAATTAAAATAAAAAAACGCGTGAAAACTATAAAGCAATCATTTCAATATTTTAATCGCCAATAAAAAGAAATTATTATAAAATATTAAGTGTGAATATTGAAATAAAAGATTCCACTTATTGTGTGGACATTTACCACGATCGGAATATTATTTACTTTTCTGGCGAACAATGGTGTCCAAATATTCGCCATTTCCGAAGGTCCGTGTACTTATGCCCTATTTACAGGTTTGGATACAAAAAGAATCTTTCGTAATTCATGGCGTTAGGTACTTTACTTATATTAGTATAAATATCTTTTCTTATTTAATCCATTGCATTTTGTTATAATTTTCAAATGGTGGGGAAGGAATCGATTGTTTTACAATTACGGCGAATTGAATTTCTGTGTACCCGAGTCAAAGGTCGATAAGGGCATTACGTACATTCTTAAAATCAAGGCACAGGTTGAATAAGGGGCTCCGAAGAATTATCGGTCTGTGCTGCTGCAGAAACTTTTTCTCTCTCCAAATCTCAGTTATTGAAGGAAGATATGGCTTGAATATCCGCTAATTTTTCTTCGAAAAGTTCTATTGTTTCTTCGAAAAGTTCTAATGTTATCTTGGACGTCATACCGCTAACAAGTACAAAATAGCAGTGGAAATAGAAAAAAATCACGGAAGTCACTGTTTAATTATCTACTCTCAATTATTTTTAAAAAATAAAATTATCAACCAATATAACAGCGATATGATTTTTTTAAACCAGAGTGTATACAAAGCGACCTTTCACGCGGTACATGAAAGTGTTTGACGCGTGTCGAGGTAATGGTTTTCGAGACATGCAAACTCAGATTATCAGGTAGCCCACGTAGCTGGCCCGTCAATCAAATCAGAAGCTATTGTTTTTTTAATGATTGACAGGCGGTATACTATTGATCCTGAATTATAGATAGATTTTGGGGGCGTTAACATAAAATTGGGTGTTTAAGAATACATTTTCGCATTCGACATCAAAGAAGAGGAGATCTAAGAATTGATAGAAGACACGTATTATGGTCATCACTATTTTCTTCACTTTTTTAAACACTACATGTATATAATTGATTTTTGCACCTTGAGAAAGCAGTGTAGGCTACAGCCTTTAGCTCTTATTGAAATACACACCACTATAATCCTACTTGTAAGATAGTTAAAGCTGGTCTATTGAAGATTCCAATATACGGAGTATTTTATGGTTGAATAACAACTTTGTCCAAGCTATTGTCTGCCTGATGAAATATTTTTACTGTCACTAAACTCCAGAAATCTGCCGATAGCAGAGCTGAATGAGGTTAGGAGGCTATGCTTTGCGGATGTATTTCTCTTTGAAACTAGAAATATGTCCATAGGACATGAAAGCCCCCCCCCCCCGCCCCCCACACACACATTTGTATTTCAACATGAAAATAAATGTACATTCTCTTTTTGGTCAGAGATAATAACAGAATATGATGAAAGTAGGAATAATTTTTGTTTTTCATACAGAACAAATACCATCAGTATAAAAGTTATTCTATACATGTATATAGTATGGTATGCATGCAGCATTAATACATCATACATGTATCTAT